GGAATTTGGGAATTTGGGAATTTGGGAATTTGGGACTTTGGGAATTTAGGAATTTTGGGATTTGGGGAATTAAGGATGTTAGGATTTGAGAATTCAAGGATTTGGGACTTTGGGATTTTAGAGATTTTTTAATTGTCAATTTTATATTTTATTGATCGTTTCTCTTTAAAAGCGAGAAAGTACCAATCTTAATACAAAAATTGAAGTGCCATATTAAATATATAATTATTAAAACAGTACTATGTTAAATGTTTAATAAATAACACAACTAATTCCATTATAACTTTATAATCACTTAAATACGAAAAACCACAGTTTCAACAAAGAAACTAAATCAAAACTCAACAAAAATGTTGAAGATACCTCACATTTAATAATTAATACAATTTCTTTCCTCACGAATAAACATAACATAATTACTCATAAATAAAGCCATCAGAAGTAAAATATTTATAAATCCCGTATAAATAAAAATACCGAATACTTTTTCATATCACTGTACACAAAAGCGTCCGCAACCTAACCTAATTTCCCATTTCGCAGCAACATGCAAATAACCATTAATCCCTTCGTCCTATAAATAAAAATCCCAAATACTTTCTCATATCACTGTGCATAAAGACATCCGTAACCTAACCTAATTTCCCATACCACCCGTAGCAACATGCAAATAACCATTAATCCCTTCCTATAAATAAAAAGGAATACTTTTTCGCATCACATAATAAAGACATCCGTAACATAACCTAATTTTTCATTCCGCTCGTAGCAACATGCAAATAGCCATTAAGGCTCACCACAAGGTGAAGCAAAACCCTTCATCTTTAATACTTATTCACATTAAAATCCTGCGACACCATAGTACATCAACGAACCGGTTCTATTGTCCTTTTTTTCCAATCAGGTATCGAGCGGAGTGTTATCCGGGATACTCAATATATCGCCGGAGAAAATACAGGCCGTCGATATGGACAGCATAAACGCGCCTATATATTACTCGTTCCTCAGTGGCAGCCCATCGAATTATCGAGACTTTTTCGAAATAAATCCAAACACTGGCGCCGTGAAGCAAATCAAGGCGGTTGACACGACGGTCACGAAGAAGTTCGATATCATTATTAAGGTAATACTCGTAATATGATGTTTTAAGTTTCAGTCGCAACGTAATGTTTAGCGAACATCAATGTTAATGGCGTCGAGAGGGAACCCGTGTTTTCAGAATGTTCTCAGACGAAATTTTATGTGTTGTACGAATGTTCTCGCACGATTTGGTTAGGTTCGTTAGTCGGTAACCACTGTCGACGTGTAAATTTTATTGCTGTGTGATTATAGTTGAGTAATTTTATTTTTGAGATCAATGTGAGCGGACATGAAAATCAGGTCGTTATGTACATATGCAGTATAAATGGAATAAAACAGTATAAAATGGAATAAAACAGCTGCTTATTTGAGATGTCTTTGACAGGTTAGGTTAGGTAATTTGAAAGTTTTAAGGTAGATATAGGGAATTTGGGGGCAACTTTATTTCGGATCGAAGGTATTTGTTTTTGCAATATTTTCTAATTTATGGATTTTGCAAATTTTTGGTATATTCAAATTTATTGATTTTTATGAAATTGCAGTACACTTGAAATTTAAGAATTTTGTGAATTTTCAATATTTTTAAGTTCACCAAATTTTTATGTTTTCAAATTTGGCGATTTTGCTAAGTTTCTGTATTTTCAAATTTTTCCAATTTTGCTAAGTTTCTATATTTTCAAGTTTCCCAATTTTGCTAAGTTTCTATGTTTTTAAATTTTTCCAGTTTTGCTAAGCTTCTATATTTTCAAATTTACCAAAATCGCTTATAAAATTTTAAAATCAATCTCAAATTTTAAAAAAATCTTCATGTTTTCAAAAATTGAAATTCTTCAGATTCAAAAAATTGAAATCATTTCTTGAAACAATTCTTACTTGAAACCTGCTTTACAGTCTGACATCTCTCAATTACTCTGATCCCGTTGGACTTAAACTTTGCTAAGTGATTCTCAAATTCAATTATCAAATTTTAAAATCAATCTCAAATTCAATTATCAAATTTTAAAATCAATCTCAAATTTAAAGAATCTTCAAGTTTAAAAAAATTGAAATTCCTCAGATTTAGAAAATTGAAATCCTTATTCTCGAAGGTAGCTTTACAGTCCGATATCTCTCAATTAATCTGATGGCATCGGACTTAAACTCGAAATCCTCCATCGCTAATCTACTTGTCTGTTTGTTGATAGGCCGTCGAGGTGTCCGAAGCGAAACGATCAGCCACAGCCAAACTGACCATCACGGTAAAGCCGGTGGACAGTAATCCTCCAATTATAACAGCATCAAACGTGGAAGGTTTCGTCGACGAGAACGCTCCGATCGGTACGAAGGTTATCGACAAAAATGGCGACCCTATAGTCCTCACTGTCTCGGACGCCGATTTGGTGAGTTTTACAATTTTATTTTAAAATTCATCTTACATTTTTTTACATTATTTTTTCTTTAATCTTTCGCACTCCTTAATTTGTTTTATGTAGCAACATCTTGACACTAAACATATCTGCATATAATGTGTAATTTAATTTGAAATTAAAAAATAAAGTTATAAAATAAATAAAGATACAACGAAACATAAATTAGTATACACATTTATTCTTTAGCTTGATGAATATCAATTGTGATTTCAAAGAATGGACTTTAACAAGTGTATCTTGTAATGAGAAACTTATGGAGCGGTCATTTAACTGGCTTGGTAGTTTCTACTTAATTTGAAATTAAAAGTAAAGTTAAAAAATAAATAAACAAACGACGAAATATATATTAGTACATACATTTATTATTTACTTTGATGAAAATCAGTTCTGATTTCAAGGAATGTGCTTTAATACAATGTGTATCTTATTATAAGACACTTATGGAGCGGTCATTTAACTGGCTTGGTGGTTTGTACTTAATTTAAAATTAAAAAATAAATAAACAAACTACAAAACATATATTAGTGCACACATTTATTCTTTCTCTTGATGAAAATCAATTCTCTGATTTCAAGGAATGTGCTTTAACAAAATGTGTACCTTATAATGAGAAACTTATGGAGCGGTCATATAACTGGCTTGGTGGTTTCAGTGTTAATTTACAAAATAGATCAAGGATTTCTCAATCAAGTATTGCAACAGTGAGACTATGTGACAAATATATTTTTCATTCATTATAAATAAATAAATAAAAAATAATAATTTATTATAAATAAATAAATGAAAGATAGTAATAAATATGAAAGTTATTCTACTAATTTTCAAAGACACTTTGACCGGTTTTGAAGCTATTGTCAGTAATAATTTCTTATAAATAAATAAATGAAAGATAGTAATAAATATAAAAGACATTCTATTAATTTTCAAAGACACTTTGACTGGTTTTGAAGCTGTAGTTCCAGCGTTAATCGTTTTTGACATGTTTCAAGCCAACCATTTAATTTCTGATGCCTCCATCATTCGTTATCGATTTGATCAACGAGAAACGCAGAAAAAAAGAATCGGTGAAAGGAGACGTTTGGCAACGAGGACAGAAATGAATATTTACGCGGCAGATTTCAAAATGACTGTTCGATGACGGCAGGAAGTCGATTGCATAATCTGAAATCCATATTTTAACCAGGAATATCCGCAAAATTAGCATATCGTTGCGAGGTATCGCGGTTATATATCGCCGACTTAAATGGAGCAGCCAGGTTCACTGATAAGGACCAACGATTATCGTGGACATAAAGTCTCAGGAAAGCCACGTTGCACTTTCTCGTTCTTGTACATTCGGATGCAACGTCGACTTCTTTTGAATAATAATGTATATGCAAATTTTGTGAATTTTTTATTCACACGTTTTTGGATTATTTAAATTTTGGTAGTGATGGATTTCAGGATCATTTAAATTTTTATAGTGATGGATTTTAGGATTATTTCAATTTTTATAGTGATGGATTTTAGGATTATTTCAATTTTTGTAGTGATGGGTTTTGGGATTATTTCAATTTTTGTAGTGATGGATTTTAGGATTATTTCAATTTTTGTAGTGATGGATTTTCGGATTATTTCAATTTTTGTAGTGATGGATTTTAGGATTATTTAAATTTTTATAGTGATGGATTTTAGGATTATTTCAATTTTTGTAGTGATGGATTTTAGGATTATTTGAATTTTTGTAGTGATGGATTTTAAGATTATTTCAATTTTTGTAGTGATGGATTTTAGGATTATTTAAATTTTTATAGTGATGGATTTTAGGATTATTTCAATTTTTGTAGTGATGGATTTTAGGATTATTTTAATTTTTGTAGTGATGGATTTCAGGATCATTTAAATTTTTGTAGTGATGGATTTTAGGATTATTTCAATTTTTGTAGTGATGGATTTTCGGATTATTTCAATTTTTGTAGTGATGGATTTTATGATTATTTCAATTTTTGTAGCGATGGATTTTATGATTATTTCAATTTTTGTAGTGATGGATTTTAGGATTATTTAAATTTTTATAGTGATAGATTTTAGGATTATTTAAATTTCTGTAGTGATGGATTTTAGCATTATTAGATTTTACTACTGAGAGACTTTTTGATTATTAGATTTCTATCCTAAAGGATTTTCGATTTATTAGATTTTTATAGTGATGGATTTCTGGATTATTTTATTTCTACTCTAAGAGATTTTTGGATTATTAGATTTCTATCCTGAAGGATTTCTGGATTATTAGATTTCTATATTGATAGATTTCTGGATTATTAAACTTCTACACTGATGAATTTTTGGATTATTGAACTACTGTATAGATAGGTTTCTGAATTATTGAATTTCGACACTGATGGACTTTCGAATTATTAGACTTCTATATTACTGTACTTCTAAATTGTTCATTTCCTGAATTTCCAGATTTTCAAATGTCTAAATCAAACTTTTCAAACTTCAGGTTTCCAAATCTATAAATTTTCAAGTTTATTCTATATGTATAACTATATCATGTTTTATAAAATCATATAATAATTGTATGTTATTATACATATATTAGGAAGACTGCAACAGTATGGTCTGCTATCAAGCAAAAAAATTTATTATTGCACAAAATAATTCATATATGTATATTTTTATATTCAACCAAAATTTATAATTATTTTACAATTGTCATTTAATCACTCAATTTATTTTCACAAAATATCAACTCATCTTCACAATATATTATTTTGCTTCCAACAAAAATCGTGTCGAACAGTTATTTTTTACAAAACCAAAGTACCCCTCGATATGTAACACCAGATAAAAAAAGTCAACGTCCGATGCGTTTCATTTCGACAAGACATCGACGATTTCCGGCGATATTACCCAACCGGAATTGTACGGCACAGTCTGCTGCGATGAAATTGCCAGGAGGTGGGTCAATCGTTAACGGACACATTTTCAGCAACTTTATTGCACGTGGAAGAGCCGCTACACCCACACGTTCATTTGTGAAGTCCTTTATGTGCCGATAGAACGAACGTGGTCTCCTTTCTTCAAATGACAGAGCCATTCATTTATTTCTACTCCATTCGGACGACGTTTAAACGTTGAAACTACCGAAACGGCCAAATGACCGTTTTATATCTTTCTTGTGTTTTAATTAACATGAGATGTTAATATTTTTTTTTTAATATACGTTGATTTTTGGGAGGGTAAAAAATTAGTGCTTGTAGTAATTTATGTTTTATTGGTTGCTTATTTGTTATTTAATTTTGGGCATTTTTATTTTGTGTGGTATTATAATGTAATGGTAACATATGATATATGTAATGTACTTAATATATGTATGTATGTGTGTAAATATGTAGATATGTAGATATGTATGTGTGTATGTTATGTATGCATATATGAAAATATGTAGAAACGTATGTGTGTATGCATATATGCATTCATATAGACATATGTGCATGTATGTACATATATATGCATGTATGCATATATGTATGTATGTATGTATGTCTGTATGTATGTATATGTATATGTATGCATATACATATGTAAGTACGTATGTACGTATGTGGTATACATATGTGCTTGTATGTATAAGTATGTAGGTACATATGTGTATACACATATGTGTATGTATGCATATATGTACATATGTGTGCATGCAGATATGTATGTATTATATGTTACATTACAACTACATATAATGTTACAACATAACACATGTACACATTTAGATATTATACATACATGTATAACACAACATATTCATTTATTTCCACATATGTATGTATTTTAACTATAATATCATATACAAAAATGATTTCAATAAAAGTACAAACTGTAATACAATTAAAATACGTCATATTCCTGCTCTACCCATAAGTTTAATACAAACACATAAAAATTTATAATAAATGATGAATAATGTTTTGCAGGGACCAGAAGATCCAAAACCAACGTACACGTTCGAGCTAACAACCAATTTCTTCGCGATCGATCCCACCGGTATTTTAATCGTAAACGAAGAGAATCTGGACCGGGATCCTCCGAGTCCTGGCCGTTTCCGGTTTCAAGTGGTGGCCAGGGAAAAAACGGGTGTCGCCGCTTCCGCGCCATTATCCTTCGTTGTGACACTGAACGACGTTAACGACAATGCCCCTATGCTTCCCATGATAACTCCTATCACCGTTCAAGCCGGCGAAACAAAGAGAGTGGTGACAAAGGTAGGTAGACATTCTCTGTGAATAATTCTGCGATATTAACGGTAACAAAGGGAGAAATTTGAATGGTGTTATGAGGGATACAATGCCGTCGCGGAAAGAATCGGGCAGACGTTTTAGAGGGATAATAGTTTATTCAAGTATCATCCCTTTTATGTAATCAGATAAAAGGTATTTCCTCGGTTTCTTCGGGATGAATGTTATTCCTCGATTCTGAAGCTGTACATCCGTTCTATAATTCATCGACGTTCTTTATATGGACGTTTCCTTTTGTTTTCGGTTTCTTGGTTACTTGTGCGTGCGGATTGAGTAACATTGTTTTTAATTAGTAATTATTGTATCAATTATTATATTTGAGTTATTATATTGTCGCTTTATTATTATATTATGTTTTGTATTTTGAGACGCGAAAGATGTGAAAATTGTATGAGTTAATAAAAATAAAAAATGATGAAATATTAGATAGAAAATAAATGATGAAATAATGAAACACTAGAAATAGAAAATGGAATAGTAGCAAAATGAGAAAATAGGAAAACAGAGGAGTAACAAAGAAGCAAAGTTCCAAAAGAACAACATAGCTGAAGAGCAAAGTAGTACAACATCAAATTATCAAGGCAACAAAGTAGCAAAATTGAAACACAACCGAGTAACAATGTAGCAAAATGTCGAGGCAATAAAGTAGCAAAGTTGCAACATACCAGACTAACAAAATAGCAAAGTTGCAACATGCCAGACTAGCAAAATAGCGAAGTTACAACATACTAGACTAGCAAAATAGAAAAATAGTAAATTATTAGCAAAGCAGAAAGTAGCAAAGTTGCAACACAGCAGAGTAGCAAAGTAGCAAAATAGCGAGGCAAGGAAATAGTAAAGTTGCAATGCAGCAGAGCAGTAAAGTTTCAAAGTTGCAAAGCAACAAAGCGACAAAATAGCAAAATTGAAAAGAAGCAATATAGCAGAGTATTAAATTAACAAAGTAGCAAGATAGCGGGGCAACAGAGTAGCAAAGTTACAAAGGATTAATATTGCAGAGTAGCAAAGCAGCAAAGTAGCAAAATAATGGGACAACAAAGTAGCAAAGTTAGAAAAGAGCAATATAGCAGAGTAGCAGAGTAGCAAGGTAGCGAAGTAGCAAAGTAGTGAGGCGACAAAGTTGCAAAATATCAAAGCACTGAAACAAGGAATTTGCAATGTACCAAACTAGCAAGGTGGAAATATAACAAGACAACAAAATAAAAAAGTAGCAATAACAATGTAGCAATATAAAAATCTTGCAATCCGTCAGTCTAAAAAAATGGTGAAGTACCACATTCAGATTACATACATATTTCTATAAGTAGAAATCCGAAAAATTATTTCAGACGATATCGTGTACAGATTTATACTCCCATGCGACCTACCGATGACCTTGAAAATACCCGCGAAGCCACGAAACGTTCAGATAGGCGATCTTTCACAAATGTGTATCTTTCACCGATACACATTTCACCCAACCTCCATCTTTCACTGCTCTTTCGACTTCCCAAGTTCCTTTCATTCCCTCCATCGATAAAAATCGCGTTTACACCTGCTCCCAAGAGTGCGAATTCAATATCTCGAATCCGTCTATTCCATCATTCCAGGTGGAGGCGACCGACAACGACGAGGGAGAGAACGCCGAGATAACGTACAGCATTTATCACGTGTCGAACAACGGATTGCATAAATTTAAAATCGACCCGAAAACCGGTGTCATCGAGTCCGTAAGGAAGTTAAACGCCGGAGAACAGTTTAGTATCACGGTTCAAGCGACGGACAAGGGTGGAAAATATTCGCAGACGATCGTCGAGGTGAACGTTATTCCAGGACCTAATACAAGAAGCCCCGTCTTCCAGCAACCGGTGTACGAAGTGCAGGTCAGCGAGGGTGCCTCGATTAATTCCACCGTCGCTACAATTACTGTGAGTATCCTTAATTACTCCGGGATAATTTAACCCTTTGATTGCTAAGCGAGGTGCACTTGTTCTTAGTGATAAGATCGATACCGTTGTGCACTTGGCAACTTATGTTGCTGTAGTTGCATAGTGGTACGTGAATGGCAGTAGTTGTTTGGTAATAGATGTTATACGTAGTCTGTTTGCTGAAGTAGTCGGGAGTTTAACGTGTTCGAAAATGCATTAGGAAATGAGAGATATAAAGGGGTTGTGTAAGGAGGGAGTAGATTGGTTTCTTGAGGAGAAAGAAGGAAGCATACGGAATTGAGTATTGTAAGAGAAGGATTAATTGCTTATGTAAATTATTGTATAATAAGAAATTTTTTATTAGGGAATTTTGAAATCCTGTGATTTTTTTTAATATAATTTGCAAATTTCTGAATTGTCAAATTCTCGAATTCAGAGACTTTTAAAATTTTTAATTTGTAAATTTCGAATTTGTAGTTTTGCAGATTTACTAATTTAGTTATTCAGAAATTTCTGTTTTCAATGCTCTAAATTATCAAATTCTGATATGGTAAAATTTCAAAATTGCAGAATTTTCCAGTTCCATAATTCTGTTTGAGTGTTTTAAAATTTCCAAATTCCAAAGTTCCAAAATTCCAAAATTCCAATATTTCGAAGTTCCAAAATTCCACAGTTTCAATATTCCAACATTTCAAAATTCTATCATTCCAAGATTCCATCTTTCTATTATTCCATCATTCCGTCATTCCAAAATTCCACAATTCCAAAATTCCAATATTTCGAAGTTCCAAAATTCCACAGTTTCAATATTCCAACATTCCAAAATTCTATCATTCCAAGATTCCACCTTTCTATTATTCCATCATTCCGTCATTCCATCTTTCCATCATTCCAAAATTCCAATATTTCGAAGTTCCAAAATTCCACAGTTTCAATATTCTAACATTCCAAGATTCCGTCTTTCTATTATTCCATCATTCCGTCATTCCATTATTCCATCATTCCAAAATTCAAAAATTCCAAGTGTCTACAATTCTAAAAATTCCAAAAATTCCAAAAATTCCAAAGTCCACAATAACCAAAAATTCCAGAATACCGTAGTTTGAAAGATCCAAATTATTTTTGCAGGCAATCGACCCCGAAAATGATCCAGTGTCCTACTCAATCATTTCTGGCAACGATCTACGCCAATTCGCAATCGGTGATAAATCAGGTATAATCACTGTTATAAGGAAACTGGACCGAGAAGATTTAACCCGTTATCAGCTGGTAAGTTAAATTCACAGATACTTTCCATTTTTGTGTATCAATTGTGTAGTTTTGTAATCATTTCTCTTTTGTTCCAATTACTATTCCTTATATTATAAGAATGGAATGTTATAAAATATAGGAATGTTGCATCTATGTTATTTCATGCTCCATATTTGCAACAAAGTGCATCAAGGAATTAACAATAAATACATGGTTGATTAAAGTATTGATATTTGCAACAGAGTGCAAAAAGGAATTAACAATTAATACAGGTTTCATTAAAGTATTGATAACAATCATCGTATAATCAAATTTATATATTTCATGTTAAATATAAATAAATTGCATTTTTTATAACTAATGATATCATTTGAAGATATTTCATATCTTTTGTGATTATAATTTTTCGTTGCATTACAATTGCAAAAGAGTAGAACTAAATCAGAATGGTTAAAAGCTAAATTACATAAAAACCTTAAAAACTAAATAAACGAAATGAAACGAGCTCTATTATTACAATATTTCGTTGCATTACAATTGCAAAGAAAAACTACATCACAATTGTTAAAAACTAAATTATATCGAAACCTTAAAAATGAAATGAACGAAATGAAACAACCACTATTATTACAATATTTTGTTGCATTACAATTGCAAACGGAAAAAACTAAATTACAATGGTTAAAAACTAAATTACATCAAACCCTTAAAAATGAAATGAAAAAAGTGAAACGAGCTCTATTATTACAATATAAAAAACTAAACTAAACTAAGTTTTTTTATGGAACACCCTTTCTCAAGTGACAGCTCTTTAATAATAGCTCTTTCAAATTTTCATTCGTCATCCCATAATTTTTCTGTCAGCTGATAAAAGCCGAAGATTCAGGTGGTCTCTCCAGCACGGCGACAGTAAATATCAAAGTGACTGACATTAATGACAAGAATCCAGAATTTGTGGATTTGCCGTACGAATTTACTGTAAAAGAGGGAGAGGCTCGGAAATTGATCGGTCGCGTCCATGCTGAGGATGCCGATGAAGGAATTAACGCAGAAATCACATATTTCGCACCCGATGATATACCCTTCACTGTGGACCCTGAAACTGGAGATGTACTCACGAAGATCGTCTTGGATTACGAACAGAATGATGTAAGAATTTCCTTCTTTTCTAAAAATCTTGTTTGTACATTTTGTTGTTTAAAGCCATCACTTGTCATTGAAATTTAAGAAACATGAGATAGCATTCTAAAATTGAGGACTTAAATTGTATTTCAATTTAAGAAACCTATAAAATAGTATTTTACAATTAATGGCTAAGGTTATGTATACAAATTTAAGAATTTTGTTCTGCCATTTTGTTGTATGCAAAGTCACTTGTGACTGAAATTTAAAAAACATAAAATACTGTTCTAAAATTGAGGAACAAAATGATATAAGAATTTGCTTCTTTTTTAAAAAATCTTGTTTGTGCATTTTGTTGTTTAAAGCCATCACTTGTAATTGAAATTTAAGAAACATGAAATAGTATTCTAAAATTGAGAACTTAAATTGTATTAAAAATTACAAAATCTATGAGATAATATTCTAAAATTAGTGACTAAAATTATATACACAAATTTAAAAAATTTTCAAGACAGTATTCTAAAAATAGCACCAAAAATGAAGCATCTAAGTTGAAGGAATTTGTAACAGTAAAATAGTATAATATTTTGCTGAAAAGTTATCGAAGCGTGAAGATAAAATATTCAAGATAGCAATACAATTAAAAAATGAAAACTTCTATCGTCTTCCAGGAATACAAGTTTGTGGTAACTGCAAGAGATGGTGCTCCAGATTATCGCTTAGCTACAGCTACCGTCACCGTGAAAGTTATAGATGTTGAAGACGAAGTTCCCGTTTTTCATCAAAGCAGCTACGAAGCGCGAGTTAAGGAGAATGTGCCGGATTACACGGTTCTTCAAGTCACGGTAAATGTTATTCTCATGATATCATGCGGTTGATGAACTAGTGGTATCGGGTGTTTCACGCGAATTCGAGTGTGCATTTCAAGTTTCGAGGAAATGTAGAGGGTTTTGCGATTGTATCTTCACGATTTCGAGTCAGAGGACGCAAAATGGCGGATTGTAAAGTGATGTAGACAGAGTGACAAATGAACAAATGCAGATGGAGAAGAAGGAGCCCCCATTTTATGATTTCCTTATTTTTCTATTTTCCAATTTTCCAATTTCCCAAATTCCAAATTCTCTAATTTTCCACTTCCCTAATTCACCGATTCCCTAATTCCCCGATTTCTTAATTCCCCAATTCCCTAATTCCCCGATTCCCTAATTCCCCCATTCCCAAATTCCCCGATTTCCTAATTCCCTGATTTTGTAATTCCCCGATTCCCTAATTCTCCGGATCTCTAATTTCCCAATTCTCTAATTCCCCAATTTCTTAATTTCCTCGATTCCCTAATTCCCCGATTCCCTAATTCCCCGATTCCCTAATTCCCCGGATCTCTAATTTCCCAATTCTCTAATTCCCCCATTCTCTAATTCCCCAATTCCCTAATTTTCTCGATTCCCTAATTCCCGATTTCCTAATTCCCCGATTCCCTAATTCCCCGAATCTCTAATTTCCCAATTTCCTAATTCCTCAATTCTCTAATTCCCCGATTCCCTAATTTCCCAATTCTCTAATTCCCCAATTCCCTAATTCCCTAATTACCCAATTTCTCAATTTTTCCAACTTCACCAAAATTCCTCCACTTTCAAATTCCAAACTTAAAAAAAAAACTATAAAATTCCCGAATTTCAAAAATACCCAAACTACCAAATTTCCCCCATTCAAAACTAATAGAACCCGAAAAACAATCCACTCAAAACATCACTCAAAATTTCTAACTGTCCAAGTTCAAAACTCTCAAACATCAAAATTCCCTTAAATTTGAATCACTGCAAAAATTATAACATACCGTCAAATGAATGTTCTCCATTCTTCACAAAGTGTCCGTTCTAAAGTCACGTCGAATCGTTAGCACGAAAGAACATAAATAAATCCCTTTTTGCGTTGTCGATTCTCATTCTACCATTGTAGTGGAAGGAACATCGTAAATTCTGGACGAATGATCATCCTTCTCGAGCCTAAAGCAAACGCAATTAATTCCAGGCTGATGATCCGGATACAAAGAAGCAAATCACATACATGATCAAACAAGGGGACACCGAGCTATTCAGCATTGATCCGAAGACTGGAGTGATTAAAACTATTCGTGGTTTGGATTATGAGAGGGAGAACCAACATATTCTTATTATTGGGACCGTTGAGAATACTAGTGATTTACCTGGTTCTACTACCAAGGTCGTAGTCAACGTTCAGGTATTAATCATCGTTATTCTTATTTTAGTTTTTATCGTTTCTTTTTGTTGGTGGTTTTTTATGGTTTTTTGATGGTAGAAATAATAGAAAGAAAGGTGGTTTTGTATTAACACTTAGGCGCCATGTTAGTTACTGGTGATTGACAATATATGTATGTAGGTTTCCTTTAAGCTGTGTTAACATTTGTTGATTAATGATCTATGATTTTAGAAATTATATTGAACAACTATTAAAATATTTAATAATTTGGAGATTGTAATAGAATGTATCTAAATATTACTTGTTACCAAAAAGAATTTTAATGAATACTATTAGAACATGATATACATATCTTATAGTATTCATTTATTCAGAAAATAGTATTCATTTATTCAGAAAAATAGATTTACCTTGCACATGTTTCAGAAAATGTTGTAATGTATTTTGTCAATAGTAGAACAAAATACACACTTAATGTGTTAATAATACAAATAATACAATTAAAGATAATTTTACTTTAACAACAGAAATAGTAGAATTACAGAAATTTCTATTTCAGTAATACAACTAATAGAATTCAAAATATTTTGTATTTTAATAACAGAAATAATGTAAAGTTTCATAGTAACATGATGGATAAATTTGTTTAAAATTGCATGTTAGTATTAATACAAATTTTTGTATAATATATCATGTTAATATTTGTGTCAGATTATTTTGTAGGTTACATTATGATTTTTGGAGGATGGGAATTTGTTTAAAACTCTTTTATAATTATTCAAGTTTTAAACAAATGTTGCTTGTCTTTTTTATTAACTTGTCAGAGTGCAAAGAGTACGTTTTATTGTAAACTTGTGTTGTGAGAATAATCATGTTATTTTAATGTTGTCATTGTGATATTGTGATATTATTTTAAAATTGTCATTGTAATATTATGGTATTATTTTAATATTGTCATTGTTATATTATGGTATCATTTTAATATTATAATTGTGATATGATATTATTTTAATATTGTCATTGTGACATCCTGATATTATTTTAATATTGTCATTGTGATATTGTGATATTATTTGAATATTGTCATTTAGACATCCTGATATTATTTTAATATTATAGTATTATTTTATCAATATACTATCACTCCTTTAACATTATATAAAAAGTCATAATTGCATAAAAAAAAATATTGCAAAGAATTTGAAAACAAAATTCCAAAATCAGCCATCTTGTGTGATTACTTTAATGCTCCAGTTGCATTAACGTCTAGTAGTTCCAACAAAGAGACAATAATTCTACAAAAATTATACAAATATTATTATTTGTTGCATTAGGATGTGAATGATATTCCGCCAGTATTCACATCGGTTCCTCGTCCCATTACCTTGGACGATGACATTCCCATCAGTACGACAATCATCAATCTTAGAGCAACAGACTCCGATGGCACTGCTCCCGGAAATCAGGTATATATTCTCGATATACAACAGATATTCCCGATCTATGGGTATACACGATGTATATTCTCGATAGATAGGAATCTCCGTTCCTGAGTTAATCATAAGACTGCTATTGTACGTTCTGTTCATAGGTGAGATACGAAATCGTCGGTCGTGGAATAGCGAACAAGTATTTCGTGATTGACCCAGATACCGGTGTGCTTCGAATTAAGGACGACTTGCGAAAGGAAACTGATACCGAGTATCAGGTATTCTCAACATATTTATTGGTTATTCGTTTATTTTACTTAACACTATATTTACAGTGTATTCACTTTCAGTGTATTTCTTTCATTTTTTAATTTAAAAGCAAGTTCAAAGTTAAAGATCAAACAGATGTTTGAGTTTAAATTAATAAATTAATTTATGGACTTTTGATTTTTATTTTTAAATTTAGAGTCAAGTTCTAATTTAAGGATCAAGCAGATGTTTGACTTTAAATTAATAAATTAATTTAATTTAATTTGTATTTATTTTGAAAGTGAAGAAAGAGAAATATATTAGGGACACAAGCATTTAACACAATTATTTATTTTGACGAAAGTTACGTTCACAAAAATTTCTCAATAAGTTTTGTAATTTAAAGTGAGATGTCTGAGATCCGCCATTGTGTCAAGTTCCGTGAATCTAGTATTAAAGTATACAGTATGTAATACAATCCTATAGGTATAGATTCTTTAGTGATTTATGTATTGTTATTTTATTAACTATTGTGTATTTATTTATTTAATTTTTGGTAGTTTCTTAGGTGTTGCTTATTTATTTATTTACTTATTGCTTCTTTATTGACTATTTCTTATTTGGTTACTTATTATTTCTTCATTAGCTATTGCTTATTTATTTATTTACTTATTGTTTCTTTATTGACTGTTGCTTATTTAGTTACTTATTATGTCTTCATCAGCTATTGCTCATTTATTTACTATTTCTTTACTAGCAATTTCTTATTTATCCACTTACAGTTTCTTTACCACGTATTGCTTATTCCTTCATGCATGACAATTTTCATAATTTTCAAAATTCATAAAAAAACACCTCTATTAATTTCAGGTCGACGTCCGTGCATATGACATGGGCGAACCCCAACTGTCTTCACTCACGACAGTACCGATCTACGTCCGCCATGTTGCCACGGTGCCACCGGAAATCGGCTTAGGCTTCGCAGAAAACTCGTACAACGTCGATGTGCCCGAGGACGCAGGCGATAACACGCTGATCAAGATAATTACGGTCATTAATAGTCACGCACACGATACCACGCCGTTAAAGTGCGAGATTTACAGCGGCAATGAGGACGATTTATTCGAAGCCAATGTCACTGAAGAACGAAACTGCGCTTTGAGGCTGAAGAAAGGTGCCTTAGACTTTGAAACGACGGAGTCTTATCAAGTGAAGATCAAATTGGAATCTTTATCTGGGCTTCTGAACTCTGGCAGGAATACAACCATGGTATATACAAATATAGATGTATATTTTATAATATTTTTTATAGATGTAAAAGTATATTTTCTCATCTATTCATTGAATGTGGGTCGACTTGTTGTTATTACCAAATATTTAACAATTACTATAAATAGAAATATTTATGTTTCCCCACATTGAGGCAGTTGAAAAGAGTAGTTAGTACTTTTAAACTTGTTCACAATATTTAATTTATTATTCATAGTTGTAAGTAATTAATACATGTATTTGTAATTAGGTGAATTCTTAATAATATTATGATAGCTCTATATGGATAATGTGGTCAATGTTAAACAAAATATTAGAATAGTAAAATATTTATTTAATTATATACCATTTAACTACAAATGTTTGACATAGTACAGTACAAAAATTGTAGTTATTAGATAATTGTAACAAATATAACAATTGTAACATATTAGATAATTCTAGTTGTCTGTACAATTATAACTATACGTATATACAGAAAATTTCACAATTTCACCTTCGACAATTTAACGGATAATAAAACTCTTAGTACACTTATATCTATCAGAACATACAAACTTCATACATGTTCAACAGAATGCGCATCGTCAAATTTCATCTCACGTATCAATTAAACCCCTATCAACCTAATAAATTACCTGAGTACAACCAAAGTGTATCAGTAAAATAAAAATGTAAATTATTTAAATTGCAGGTGAAGATTCAGGTGCTCGACGTGAACGACAACAAGCCAGAGTTCATCTTCCCCGAGAGTAACCAAAAACTGTCCCGAGGTCGTTATTTCGCGGCGATACCCCGAACAGCTCAATTTACATCAACGGTGATCCAGGTAAAGGCCCACGACAAGGACAACGGAAAGTACGGGAAACTCGAGTACAAGATCCTCGGTGGAAGAGGTTCAGATTACTTCGCCATGGACAGCTCCTCCGGCATAATTAGAACCACGGCGACGTTCGACAACGTGGATCCTGCGGAACTTCCGTTCAAGTTCGACGTCCGCGTTCGTGACAATCCTAATTCGACCGACAACTTCAACTCGATCGTGGCTCCGGTCATAGTTAATTTGATCGGAGAAGAGAATCTGATGATCCTGGTGGTTCAGGACGCGGCTCCAGATGTTCTACAGAAGGAGGGACCCAAGATCGCTAATATAATCGAGGAGAAGAGCGGTCTATTGATCGGTATTGATAGAATCGCTGTTAGGAAAAATCTGACGAAAAATGGCACTGTGGAGATGTATCCTCAGGACTCGGATGTATGGTTCTATGCTGTGGATCCTGATACAGAAGCTATTCTCGATAGGAACAGCTCCAGAATACAAAGGTAGGGTGTTCATGCTTGGATGAACATCATATGTTTAAGATGACACAATTTTTTTCTCTCACAAAAAATTTCTTTACCCTCTAAGTTGTGTAAGAAATCCTCTCAAGGTTTGAACTCGATTAACCTTGAAATTTGTTAGAACTATTCACAGCTACAGTATCAAGAATGAAGAGGTTATGTTATGTTCTGCAATGACTATGCAAATTATAATCGAACTTCAAGTTTAAATTGGTCAAACTTAATATTAAACTTAAATGGTATTAAAAACTCGTGGAAATCACATTTGAACTGTTACTGCGTCACAGGGTTCTCACGAGTGCGTCACAAGGTTCTCACGAATGCGTCACAGGGTTCTCATGAGTGCGTCACGAATGAGACTCATCAAGGAGTTAATTTAATTTGCAGTACAACTGTATTAGAATCATTGTAACTTAACCACCCAAAATAAATATCATATGTACAATTAACACTAAAATTATCAAAATGATCAAATGACTCCACAAATTTCAGATAAGTTACACAATTTGTTAAGATGTTTTTCTTGAAATCTACATTGATCTGAAGATAAAGAATTAATGTATGCACCATTTTATGTTTAGTCGTTTATTTATTTATTATTCATTATATTATTTATTCATTATATATATATTATTTATTTATTATTAACATTGTATATTACAACAATAACTCGTTAGAAACCTTGATGCGTTTGTTACTAGCTAGACGAACAATCGGAGAATCACGTAGCTGGAAAAAATCAAAGTCATCGCGGAACGTAACAGTTAGTCGCTGCGTGATACTGAACGACTAGTTTGCTAGCGACTCTACCTGTATCTGTTGTTTCGAGGAGTTGTCCGGTTTAAAATTTCACGGGATCGTGGCGTTTTATTTCAGATCGATCACGGAGAAACCAGCAATGTCGAATATCACTTTCGATGTGTCTACACTTGTTCGAGCGAACGCGATCGACATCCATGCACCTGTGATGCCAGCTGAACCAGTTCGCACGCAGACCGCCATTGCGTTCAGCGGAGAAGTGTTCCCCTATGCTTTGATTATTATTGCCTGCGTCATACTGATCCTAGGGATTGCTGGGATTATCTACATTTGTGTATCTTGGTCCAGGTAAGTTGGATGATTTACTGGAAGATTTTGGAGCGGATTCAAAATTAAGTAATTGCTAAATATTGGTGCTTATCTTTGCACTTTTGTTAGTGAATAGAAATAAAGAAATTTAGTATCCAGGAATTTATAAAATTAGCCTGAGGTATTTGTAAAAAGTATTTGTTTAGACATTTGTAAAATTGGATACTCAGAAGTTTGAAAAGTAGAATACTTAAAAATTGATCAAATTGAACATTGAAATATTTGAAAATGTATAAACTTGGATACTCAAAAGTTTAAAAATTTTTAAATCCGTCAAATTGAAGATTTGTAAATTTTGAAACCTAAAAATACAAATCCTCAATTCAAGAAAATAAAAATTTATCAAATTTAGAAACTACCAAAAATTTCTATATTCGTTCCAAGAAATTTTGATATATCCTTATCGAATTATCTCTTCAAACTCTGATACATCCTGACATTTAAACAAGAGAATGTTACAACCTCTACTTTAATCAACCTACAAGAAACCCCCTTAATTAGAGAAACTTCGTTAGTTATTCGTGAAGTTTGAAGCCGCGAACTTATTACCAGTTCAGAACCACAGTACGAGTCATGTTACAAATTTAGTTCCCGAAAAATAGGTAAATAATTTCAGCGATTCCCGTGCAACTTTTGGACATCATAATTATTGCGCCAACAACGTTGTTACCGTTAATATCGTGTGAAAGAAGTGTTTTCCAGTGTTGCGCATGAATATTCATTCGTTGTACGGGTCGGCCCGCGTCGCATGCAAATTCATCGTTCCCTTTATTACCTCCATTAGAATTAATTACACTTTCCGGTGTGGATACCTCCTAAAACATTTAGCAGCACGATACGTCACAGGCGAAACCGTTTGCTTCGTTTCTTTCATGATCCGCATTGCTCTACATAATTAAAACCTCCATTTTATCGTTCCTGTTTCGTTCTTCTAGACGTAAACATTTCTTCTTTTTTAATACTGAACCTTGACTCATAATATACTTTCTAAAATAAATTATGAAACTTCATATGTACACTAAATTGTTTTCACACTTGAAGTATTTGTAAGATGGTTAAAATTTGATATAGAGATTATGTCAGAGAGCTGTTTTGAACTTTCACACGCAGGGGGTTAAATGACCCAACTCATGAGTTGACATCTACACACATCAATCAAAATGACCATTCTCAAGTTTCACATTACATAACTTCATGTCACGAAATTTTGTTACAGTTCTTTCATCCATCCATTTTTATTTTAATCTCCATGAAGATTTGTGGAGCGTAAGGTCAAGCAAAATTAGGAGATTAAATGTTTGATCAATATTCAGAAGTTTGATTTGCTTTCATAAATTATTTCGAACGACTAGTACTTTGTTGGTCAGATGTTTCGGAATGTTAGAATAATTAACAGCGAGGACAGTTGAGATAACAGTGAGGATAATTGAGTTAACAGGACAGTTGAGATAACAGTAAGGACAGTTGAGCTAACAATAAGGATAACGTGTAATATTTTTGAAGAGTGGAAATTTTCAACGGAAACGTTTGTTTCTGTTGTTTGTACAGATACAAGGCGTACAAGGAACGAATGCAGCGTATGTACGTGGTGCCACGATATGATCCCGTGTATGTGGAACCTAATTTGAAGCCTAATTTGAAAGAGTATGAGACGCAGGTGCTTCAAATGAGCGTGCCCGTTGATGACAATGACAGCTACAACGATCTTCAGCTTGATTTCAGCAACAAAAATCATGCGTTCAGTCTGGACAATGTCAGCTATATTACCAAAGAAAATGGAGAAAGTACAGGTAATTCAGATTATTTATGTTTATGTTTTGGAAGAATTAGAACCATATTATCGCATTATAGCAGGTGTAATAGTAAAAGTTGCATAGTTTGTTATGAAGTAATGTGATATGTTGTCAACATGTGGATATGAGTAAAAGAAAATGGATTTAGGCATGATAGAGTAGGATAAAATATATCACACGCGTTGAATTACCACGCGTTGGATTACTCGTCGAATTACTACGCGTCGAATTACCACGCGTCGAATTACCACGCGTTGGATTACCACGCGTTAAATTACCACGCGTCGAATTACCACGCGTCGAATTACTACGCGTCGAATTACCACGCGTCGAATTACCACGCGTTGGATTACCACGCGTTAAATTACCACGCGTCGAATTACCACGCGTTGAATTACCACGTATCGAATTACCACGCGTTGAGTCACCACGCGACGAAACACCACGCGTTGAATTACCACGCGTCGAGTTATCACGCATCGAATTACAA